ATAATAAATATTTTTTATTCAATAGTCGGCGTATGCGCGTTGACTTCAGTATAATTTTATAATTTCAAAGTATTTTACTTTTATTTTTGCGCGTGTTTCAGATTTGCAGTTTAGCGGGTGCGCACTTTACGGGTGTGTACATATTAAAATATGATACATATACATATATATGCTAATCTTTTGCATTTCTGTGCCAGCTGAGTGTATGTAAATATTTACGATTCCAGCTTATTTCCATATAATGCAGCTTTAATCATACAACCATTCGAAACAATTTTGAAAACGTTCGACAAGTTGTCGCAATTGTCGTTTGTAAATTTCAGTTGAACGAACTTTGATTGCATGTCAGTCAATGCAGACCCCCCTAAGCTCCTCTTTAGCCACCCTTTGGGCCACCCTCTCGACTGGCTTTTGTGGGTCTCTTAGCTGGCGGCCCCTCCTCTTCCCATAATATCTAACGTTTAGGTCGACACTCGTAAGTTGTCGATTTTATGGCAAAGATATGGAACAGCATGTAAGCGACTGTGACTGGCTTTTTTTTGCCTCTTTCTCTCCTCCTCCGTCTCTCTCTCTTTTGGGCGGAGTTGCCAGATTGCTGGATAATCAACACATTTCTTACAGCTTTTAAGCGCAGAAAACTTCCATCTCTCACTGCCAGACATAACGCGAAGTAAATTTCTATTGAAGTAAGTCGAGCTAATGCAAAAATTGCATGCGAACTTTGCCATGTGTGCAGTGTGTATGCATGCGTGTGTGTGTGTGTGTGTGTATGGGAAAGTCACAGGCCTCACCAAGTTTTAGTTTATTGTTGCCAACTTTTGCATATGCCATTGCCTACCACAAGTCGTAGATATAACGTTACTGAGCCTCAAAGTGCATTCAACTTGGCTAATAACATAGCCGCGCCCCATTTTTATGTGGTCGCGCTCAAAAGTTTTGCCAAGTTTTGGAGTGAAAAGCCAAGATAATTACTTGAAAATATATATGTATATATCTATTATGTATGCACATGCATACGTAGTTTAATTTAAAGCTTGTTAAGTAAATTATCTGCATTTATTTTGACATATATACTATTTATTTCATAAATAATAAATATGTCAGTCTTGTATTCCATAGCTATAGCTGTTAGAAGTACAGTTTTGCTTATAGATATTTAAAAATGTATTTAAGGAGTTTAATTGATGCTATACATAGTTTCACTCTGAAATTATTTGTTATTGCGGGTTCTATTGTATAAGGAAATGTGAAAATGTTTATGCTTGCCCACAGTGCTAATTTCGTTTTGTAAAAGGAAAATTACTATTTAAGCTTTCCTAGCGTATTTTGTATATCAAGCAGCAACTACTTACGCACACAACACACACACACACACTCACAATCATGCTTATTAGCTTGTGTGTAACCATTTTTGGGTCGCTGTTTGGAACTGCCAAAACATTTGGCATAAACGCGCGCACAATATCAATTTTCATGTTGCATACAATTACAGTCATTACCATTAGTAAACTGCCACCGCAACTGCGCGCACAGTGCTACACGGCTATAAACAATTTGGCCAACGATCTGACAATTCAACTGTCAATTAATTTCAATATATTGTAAATGATAATAATTTCCAAGCAATACCAAATGAAGTTCGATTTTATTTCGAATTCGCTGCAATTTCTGCCTTATTCAAAATACACGCAAAAATTGTAAAGTTTATGTTCGTTGTTTATGGCCAAAACGTAGCGAACAAAACGAAAAAAAAAAAAAAACAAAAAATAAATAAATAAAGCAAACATGTTTGCCAGGCACAGTTTGGCCTGGTCTAAAGCAGCAGCTGCCCGGTCGCCCTGTCGCCCGACTGTCCCGACTTGGCCATTTGCTGTTTATCTAAGCTTTCATTTAAACGCACCTCAAAGTGTTGGTTAAGTGCATTTAACCTGAACGTTAACGTTTGACGTTTAAATTGGCAAAGCACAAACGGGTTTCACGCACAAAATATCGATATATTTATATATATATATATGTACATATATTCATTTTTGTATATATTTTGTTGTCATCAACATCCGCTGCTCTCGCTCCATGCTCCACTCTCCAGAGAAACTTCAATGCAATTTTAAGAACAGCAGCCGCTTTTCAGCCGGCAAATAAAATGTTTAATAATTATTTACACGCTCTTTGGCTAAATCGTGCGCATAAACAACGCCAACTGCCGAAAGTTTTGACACTTTTATAAGGCAGTTTTCCCATCGACTGTCCCATAAATAACTCAGCTAAAAGGCTCCTGTGTCTAATTAATTTCAGTTAGCCACATTTTTCAAAAGCCACCGCCAGCGGGCCAACGGGCTAGCCAACAAATCGCAGCGGGCATCTCTGCCATTGCCCATTATTTATGCAGTTTGGCTATCAAAATCATCGCCTGATTGCAATTTAGAGCGAAAACTACTCACTTAGTTTATGATTAAACTCTGCCAAATATCGTATATATACACATAAAGATGCTTGATTATTATGGCAATGTGATCGATGTAGTTATCGAGTGTATTAAGGATTTTCATTTGGCTACTGATACGAAAATCGAATACAAATTTGTTTAAATTACTCAAATATCTAGAGGGCGTATGTATTATATATTACTCTACCTAAATGACATTCCAAATTCTCATACGTTCTGCAATGAGTATTGATAACTTATAATTGCGCTTTAGCTTTGCTACGTGACTTGCATTGGTATTTATAAATTTTGCATTACAGCTGGCGATGAAATATTACAAAAGGGAGCAATTTGCTTTTATATTTATTATTAAATCATAATTGTAAAATATGAAAATCTTTTATCCCACACGTATTGACGGCGGATGTTTTATAATCTTATGTAAGATATATGTACATCAGTGTATATAATATATAGATGATTGTTTAATTTGAGTTTTTTGGCACAGTCAAATTTGATCTAGGCAAGTGAAGGTATATCAAATTTAGGCTTATTATTATATATATCGTTATATATATGTTAATAATTATCATATATATTGA